CAAAAAAAAAAAAAAAAAAAAAAATTTTTTGGCTGGGTGCAGTGGCTCACGCCTATAATCCCAGAACTTTGGGAGGCCAAGGCTGACGGATCACGAGGTCAGGAGATCGAGACCATCCCGGCTAACACAGTGAAATCTCGTCTCTACTAAAAGTACAAAAAATTAGCCAGGCGTGGTGGCACATGCCTGTAGTCCCAGCTACTCAGGAGGCTGAGGAAGGAGAACGGTGTGAATCCAGGAGGCAGAGTTTGCAGTGAGCTGAGATCACACCACTGCACTACAGTCTGGGCGATAGAGTGAGGCTCCGTCTCAAAAAAATAATAATAATAATATGTGGATACACAGTGATGAGTTCATGTCCTTTGTAGGGACACGGATGAAGCTAGAAACCGTCATTCTGAGCAAGCTATCGCAAGGACAGAAAACCAAACACCACATGTTCTCACTCATAGGTGGGAACTGAGCAATGAGAACAGTTGGACACACGAAGGGGAACATCACACACCAGGGACTGTGATGGGATTGCAGGAAAGGGGAGGGATAGCATTAGGAGATATACCTAATGTAAATGACAAGTTAACAGGTGTAGCACACTAACATGGCACATGTATACATATGTAACAAACCTGCAGGTTGTGCACATATACCATGGAACTTAAAGCATAAAAAAAAAATTTTGTGGATACACAGTAGATGAATACATTTATAAGGATTTCTCAATTCCAATGGATCAGCTACAGAATATCCTGTGTTAAAGGTGATTTCTTTTTCTTTTCTTTTTTTTTTTTTGTGGAGACAGGGTTTTGCTCTGTTGCCCAGGTTGAAATGCAGTGGCGTGATCACTGCTCACTGCAGTCTTGACCTCCTAAGCTCAAGCAATCCTCCCACCTCAGCCTCCTTGAGTATCCAGGACTACAGGTACGCGCCACCACGCCTGCCTTTTTTTTTTTTTTGAGACGGAGTCTCGCGCTGTTGCCCAGGCTAGAGTGCAGTGGCCGGATCTCAGCTCACTGCAAGCTACGCCTCCCGGGTTCACGCCATTCTCCAGCCTCAGCCTCCCGAGTAGCTGGCACTACAGGCGCTGCCACCTTGCCCGGCTATTTTTTGTATTTCTTAGTAGAGACGGGGTTTCACCATGTTAGCCAGGATGGTCTCGATCTCCTGACCTCGTGATCCGCCCATCTCAGCCTTCCAAAGTGCTGGGATTACAGGCTTGAGCCACCGCGCCCGGCCTTTTTTTTTTTTTTTTTTGAGATGGAGTCTCTCTCTGTTGCCTAGGCTGGAGTGCAGTGGCGCGACAGTGGCTCACTGCAAGCTCCGCCTCCCAGGTTCACGCCATTCTCCTGCCTCAGCCTCCCAAGTAGCTGGGACTATAGGCGCCTCTCGATCTCCTGACGTCGATCCACCCTCCCTGGACTCCCAAAGTGCTGGGATTACAGGAGTGAGCCACTGTGCCCGGCCGATGCCTGTCTACTTTCTAAAATCTTCTGTAGAGACAGGGTCTCATGATGTTGCCCAGGTGAGTCTCAAACTCCTGGACTCAAGTAACCCTCCCACCTTGGCCTCCCAAAGTGCTTGGGATTACAGGTGTGACCCACTGAGGCCAGCCTACTCTTTCTTTTCAAAACATGGTTATAGGATGTTGGTGGGGCCTAGTGGCTCACGCCTGTAATCTCAGCACTTTGAGGGGCCAAGACGGGTGGATCATTGAAGCTCAGGAGTCCAAGACCAGCCTGGCCAACATGGTGAAACCCTGTCTCTACTAAAAATACAAAAACTAGCTGGGCATGGTAAGTGCCTGTAAACCCCGCTACTCAGCAGGCTGAAGCAGAACTGCTTGAACCTGAGAGGCAGAGGTTGCAGTGAGCCAAGATAGTGCCCATCGTGCCCTCTTATAATAAACAAAATAAAAATAAACAACATAAGGTTACAGGATGTAGACATATGGATATACACTTTTTTTTTTTTTTGAAACAGAGTTTTGCTCTTGTTGCCGAGGCTGGAGCGCAATGGCACAATCTCAGCTCACTGCAACCTTCGCCTCCCGGGTTCAAGCAATTCTCTTGCCTCAGCCTCCCTAGTAGCTGGGACTACAGGCATGTGCCACCACGCCCGGCTAACTTTATATTTTTTAGTAGAGGTGGGGTTTGACCATATTGGTCAGGCTGGTCTCAAACTCCTGACCTCAGGTGATCTGCCTGCCTCAGCTTCCCAAAGTGCTGGGGTTACAGGCGTGAGCCACCGCACTCAGCCACTCTTTTTTTTTTTTTAAGAGCTGGCATCTTGCTGTGTTGTCCAGGATGGCCTCAAACTTCTGTTCTCAAGGGATCCTCCCACCTCCCAGGTAGCTGGGTTTGGACATACATGCTTAACTCAGCCTAACCCTACTAATGGTAACCAGGGACCTCAGAAAGCAATTTGGTAGAGAATCTCTTATAGATACAGGTGGCAAATACAAAGCTAGTATGTCTAAGTAATACATTTTTGTGTAATCCAACTAGAAAGAGAGAACTGCAGAGAAAAATTTCATGGAATTTTTTTTCCTTTGGGAAAATTTTAAATATAAATTTATATCTATCCACAGATTATAGGAAAAACTGCACTAGCAAGCACACCTACATCCTTACAAACTAAATGAAAGAAGCAGACAATTTCACATTAAAAAAACAACTTTGGACCGGGTGTGGTGGCTCAGGCCTGTAATCCCAGCATAGTGGGAGGCCGAGGCAGGTGGATCACCTGAGGTCAGGAGTTCAAGACCACCCTGGCCAACACGGCAAAACCCCGTCTCTACTAAAAATACAAAAATTAGCCGGGTGTGGTGGCAGGTGCCTGTAATCCCAGCCACCCAGGAGGCTGAGGCAGAAGAATCACTTGAGGGTTACCTGGGACACAGAGGTTGCAGTGAGCTGAGACCAGGTCACTATTCTCCAGCCTAGGCAACAGAGTGAGACTCTGTCTCAAAAACAAACAAAACCACTTCATTATCAATTCAATCAATTCTTGTGTTTCTGTTCTTTTTTTTTTTTTTTTTTT